GTCGAGAGCGAGCCTCTTCTGATAGAAGCTAGGCGGGCCGCGCTCAGCTTTAATTAGCGGAGGGGGGGGGGGGGGGGGGGCAAAAGAGGGCGGGGCCTCACGTCAAGGCCGGGAGAGGGCGAAGCCCTGGGATCAGGCGGTGCCGAAGTCGAAGTGCAGGAAAAGGTACGCTTTGGCCGTATGCATATACACGTAGCACCCCGCTATTGCGGGTAAGAGTGAGGGGGCGGGCCCGGGCGACGCGGGCGTCGAGCCGGCGGCGGACCTCGTGGCCCTCACCTTCCCTGTCGATTGCGCCCCCCTCCTCCTCCTCCTCCTCCTCCTCCTCCTCCTGCTCCTGCTCCTCCTCCTCCTCCTCCTCCGCCTCCTCCTCCGCCCCCCCTCCCCCTCCCGTGTGGGTCGCCCCCCAGTGCTAACCCGCCCAGGCCACACGGGAGACACTTCCGATGCAGGATCTGGGGGAGGTCACGCGTGCCTTGAGACCGTATGCATATATTTGTTTTGATATACGGGTCGAGAGCGGGCTTCTTCTGATAGAAGCTAAGCGGGCGCCGCGCTCAGCTTTAATTAGCGGAGGGGGGGGGGGGGGGGGGCAAAAGAGGGCGGGGCCTCACGTCAACGCCGGGAGAGGGCGAAGCCTTGGGATCAGGCGGTGCCGAAGTCGAAGTGCATGAAAAGGTACGCCTTGGCCGTATGCGTATACACGCAGCACCCCGCAATTGCGGGTAAGAGTGAGGGGGCGGGCCCGGGCGACGCGGGCGTCGAGCCGGCGGACCTCGTGGCCCTCACCTTCCCTGTCGATTGCGCCCCCCTCCTCCTCCTCCTCCTCCTCCTGCTCCTCCTCCTCCTCTTCCTCGTCCGCGTCCTCATCCGCATCGTCGTCGTCGTGCTCTGACACATTCAGCGGGGGGGGGATTGCTGGTGGGCCACCAAAAACGAATGCATTATGCTAACGGAGTTCCCCACATAAAGATCTGAACGGTTTCGTGGGACCCATGGGGTACGACAACATCAACACGAAGGAGAAAATCATCGAACGAGTAAGTACGCACGAAAGGGCAGACGAAAGAAAGGAGGAGGGAGGACAGGTGTTCAGGAAACGCCTTGTAAATAGTACGGTTTCATGATACCCTCCTCGCTCTGGCGGGGCCCCGCTGGAAGGGGGGAGGGCTACGATACCTGGTACAGAGTAATGCTTTCCGCGACCCTCCTTGTTCAAGCGCGTGCCTCTCTGGAGAAGTGGAGGGGGGGGACACGAAACCGTGTAAACTGGATTGTTTTCCGATACCCTCCTGGGGTCCTGGAGGAGGAGGAGGAGGAAGAGGAGGAGGAGGAGGAGGACGAGGAGAAAGAGAATGAGATGGATGATGGTGAAGAGCAACAGCAGGAACCGCAGCAGGAACAGCAGCGGGAGGATGACCAGGAGTATGAACATGAGAAGGAGGAAGGTCGGGCGGGCGGGTGAGTCGCCCAGGCGCCCAAGGTCCGATACCCTCCTCTCGCAGACGGGGCCTCCCTGGAGGGGTGTGAGGGGCTCGAAACCATGTAACTAGCATGGGTTTCCGATACCCTCCTCGCTCCACCGGGGCCTCCCTGGAGGGGAGGGAGGGGCACGAAACCATGTAAATAGTATGGGTATCCGATACCCTCCTCGCTCAGGCGGGGCCTCCCTGGAGAGGTGGGAGGGGCACGAAACCATGTAAATAGTATGGGTATCCGATACCTTCCTCGCTCAGGCGGGGCCTCCCCGGAGGGATGGGAGCGGCACGAAAACATGTAAATAGTATGGGTATCCGATACCCTCCTCGCTCGGGCGGGGCCTCCCTGGAGGGGTGGGAGGAGCACGAAACCATGTAGATAGTATTGGTTTCCGATGCCCTCCTCGCTCAGGCAGGGCCTCCCTGGAGGGGTGGGAGGAGCACGAAACCATGTGAATAGCATTGGCTTTCGATACCCTCCTCGCTCAGGCGGGGCCTCCCTGGAGGGGAAGGAGGGGCACGAAACCATGTAGATAGTGTGGGTTTCCGATACCCTCCTTGCTCCGGCGGGGGTTCCCTGGACGGGAGGGAGGAGCACGACACCGTATGGGTTTCCGATACCCTCCTCGCTCAGGCGGGGCCTCCTTTGAGGGCACGAAGCCATGTAAATAGTATGAGCTTCCGATACCCTGTTCGCTCAGGCGGGGCCTCCCTGGAGAGGTGGGAAGGGCACGAAACCATGTAAATAGTATGGGTTTCCGATACCCTCCTCGCTCAGGCGGGGCCTCCCTGGAGGGGTGGGCGGGGGGCGGGAGGGAGAAGGAGAGGATGTTCTGGGAAACCAAAAACCCCAATCAGGATGTGGGGAAAAAACAGCCCGCCGCAGGCGCCGAAATTTTGGTTTGTTCAGTGAACGTAGTTTTGGTCGCGGGTGGGTCGCGGGCTCTCCACCTCCACCTGGAAGGAATTCAAAAACAGCCCGCCGCAGGCGCCGAACATTTTGATTTGTACACTGGACGCGGCTTGGGTCGCAGATTCTTCACCTGGAACGAATGTAAAAGAAACCCGCCGCAGGCACCGAAGTGTTGACTTGCTCAGTGAACGTAGTTTTGGTCGCGGGTGGGTCGCGGGCTCTCCACCTCCACCTGGGAGGAATTCAAAAACAGCCCGCCGCAGGCGCCGAACATTTTCACTTGTACACTGAACGCGGTTTGGGTCGCGGGGGTGGGTCGCAGGTTCTCCACCTGGAATGCGAAAGAAGCCCGCCGCAGGCGCCGAACATTTTGCGTGGGTCGCGGGGTGGGTCGCGGTTGGGTCGCGGTTGGGTCGCGGTGGGTCGCGGGTGGGTCGCGGGCGTGGCTTGGGTCGCGGGTGGGTCGCAGGTTCTCCACTTGGAACGAATGCAAAACAAACTCGTCGCAGGCGCCGAAAATTTTGGGTGGGTCGCGGGGTGGCCGCGGGTGGGTCGCGGGTGGGTCGCGGTGGGTCGGGGTGGGTCGCGGGTGGGTCGCGGGTCGCGGGTCGCGGGTGGGTCGCGGGTGGGTCGCCGGGGGGGTCGCCGGGGGGGTCTCGGGGTGGGTCGCGGGGTGGGTCGCGGGGTGGGTCGCGGGGCGGGTCTCGGGTGGGTCGCGGGTGGGTCGCGGGGTGGGTCGCGGGTGGGTCGCGGGGCGGGGCGCGGGTGGGTCGCGGATGGGTCGCGGGGTGGGTCGCGGGTGGGTCGCGGGGCGGGTCGCGGGTGGGACGACGACAACAAACAACAAACAACAAACAACAAACAACAAACAACAAACAAACAACAAACAACGAACAACAAACAACACACACAACAACAACACCAACAACAACAGTAATCCGCATCGCGGAATTCCACTTCAGCCACGCACCCAGGGACAGTGAATGACCGTTCGGTTCAGCCCCCTGACTCTGAGAAATATGTGTACAAGTGTATGTTTAGATACACGCATACATACATACATACATACATACATACATACATGCATACATACATACATACATACAGACATACATGCATATATACATACATACACATTACGTACGTACGTATGTACATACATACACATATACATACACACATTCATTCATACATATATACATACATACATACATACATACATACATACATACACACATATACATGTATGGGAAGGACGTACTCGGTCGCCCGGAATTGCCACACGCCGAAGCGGACCGCCTCTGCCTCGCCGCCGACGAAACATAGGAAGGACGTTCACAGACAAGTTGCCAAAGGAATAGGTCGTGTCCCTTCTCAGGGCCATGATGGAGCCAACCGACCAGAGGGAAGTAAAAGCATCCTCACGTGGCAGCGAGAGGTTACCGTTTGCTGCGTTCTTGAAGCCCTCTAGACGCTCCTTGGAGCCTCATCTTATAGGAGCTCTCCCGAATCTCACTAGCACTGCAGTGGGCACGGAAGCAGAAGAGCACGAGGTGAGAACATCGGAGGGACCAAAGTTAGGGTCAGCCCGAGTAGTTGCCCAAATGGCGAATGGGAGCTTTTGAGAATCATCCCGGGCCTTTCTTGGCGCCCTTTGGGGAGCCCTCGGGGCCTCCTGGGGTGGGGGCTGTCTCGGGTGAGAGCAAGGAGGAAGAAGAGGGAGAGGGGGAAGGGGGAGGTGGTAAGCTTCTGTGCGGGGATGGACCCTGATCCTTGAGGTCCCAAGTGGCCCTTGAGGTCCCCAGAGGCCTCAAAAGGGGCAAGAGCGTGAAGCACACACTCACACACACCCACACCCACACCCACACCACACACACACACACTCACACACATACACACACATACACACACAACCACAACCCAAAAACCCACACACCCACACACTCACACACCCACACACCCACACCCACACGCACACCCACACCCACACGCACACGCACACGCACACGCGCACGCGCACGTGCACACACACGCGCACACGCAAACGCACACGCACAAGCACACACACACACACACACACACGCATACACACACATTCACACACACACGCATATACAAATACGGTATGGGCTCAAACGTGATAGAAGATATCATTATCATAGACCCTCGATCATCGAGGTCAAGACTTGACATAATCGCACGTGGCTAGGACGAGGAGGAACCCTTTCCAGAGCGTTCCGAAACGCGCCAAGAGCGTTCGAACGCTCTGAGAAGGACGCGGCGCCCGACACATCTTCCAGAGCCACCGGATCCGAGAGATTCTCGATTTTCCCTCACCCGGTTTGATCCTCGCCCTGGCTTCGTCTTGATCATCGAGGTAAAGACCTGGCTTAGGTCGGGCCTGTCCCCCTACAGGGGAGCTTTGGGCGAAAATTTACAAATACTCAACAGATATGCCGAAAATGTTCAAACATTGTCAAAAGATGGTCCCCAGACTATTTCCTGGAGATTTTTGGATATCCCCCTGCAGAGGGACAGGCCCGACGTAAGACTTGGCAGGCGAGCGAGGAGGAGGACCGACAGCGGCAGCAAGCCCCGCCCGCCAGCAGGCTCGCCGCCGCGTTCAGCGCGCCGGGCGCGGCAGGCCAGGCGCAGGCGGAGAGCGGGCCGGAGAGACTGCGGGCAGCCCGATGATGGCGAGGACGACGTCGAGGACGTGGTGGAGGAGGAGGAGGAGGAGGTGGAGGAGGAGGAGGAGGAGGAGGAGGAGGAGAGATAAGTGGAGGAGAAGGAGGCCGAGGAGGAGGAGGAGGAGGGAGAAATGGAGGAGGAGGAGGAGGAGGAGGAGGAGGAGGGGAAGGAAGAGTTTAGCACTCGAGGTTTGCCCGACGCAAGACGGAGGAAGACGGCGAGGAGTGGGAGGGATGAGCGGAGCAATAGGGAGCAATGGAGGCGGATGAGGAGGACGCGAGGTGGGGGAGGAGCAGAAGGAGGGGGAGGGGAAGACGAGGACGACGACGAAGACGACGACGACGACGACAACGATGAGGACGAGGACGAGGACGAGGACGAGGACGGCGTCCAGGAAGTGAAGAAGAAGAAGAAGGAGGAGGAGGAGCAGGAGGAGGAGAAGGAGGAGGAGCAGGAGGGGGAGAAGGAGGAGGAGCAGGAGGAGGAGGAGAAGGGGGCGAGGCACAGCAGGAGGGCACAACAGGAGGGCGCGGAGGAGGCTGCCGCGCCGCGGGGTCCTCTGCGCCCGCCGCCCGCTCCCGCTGCCGCGCGCGGCACGAGCGCCGGGCGGACAGCGACCGCGGGCACGAGCTCCACAGCGCTTGCGCCACCGCCGTCCTCTTCCTCCTCCTTCTTTTTTTTCTCCTCCTTCTCCTCCTCCTCCTCCTCCTCCTACTCCTTTTCCTCCTCCTCCTCCTCCTCCTCCTCTTCCTCCTCCTCCTCCTCCTCCTCCTCCTCCTCCTCCTCCGGCACCGAGCTCCGAGGCGAGCAGGAGCAGGCGGAACGCCGGCGGCAGGCGGCGGCAGCCGCGGCAGCGCCCGCGCCGTCCGCCGCGCTCGGCGGGGCCACCGCCGGCATGCCGCCCCCAACTCCCAAGCGAACGTTGGTCCCGTCCAACAACCCCAAGCGTACCCCGCAAGTTATGAGCCGCGCCAACCATGCGACAGTCAAGTGCCTCCAATATGGGAATGCTAAGAACCCGTTCTGGTATTCTTACTGTTACCATTGCTCTGCAAGTCTATTACATGGGCCTGCTATTACACTGGAGAGATCCCCTATGGGCAAATGGGCTTCTCGCTTCACCGACCTCACGGGTGAGCCGAAAGGTGCAAAGGGACCCAGGACCAAAGGCAATGGCAAAGGCAGTACCACAAAAGGCAAAGGCAAAGGCAAAGGCTACGGAAAGTTCACCCACCCCTCCCAATCCTACGACCTGCATTGGGGAGGTATTGGGGGCATTAAGGGAGCGTGGAAAGGCAAAGGAGGAGGAGGAGGCACACCCCGCCCTAAGCTCAACGGGCCCACCCTTCTCAACCTCCTGGTCCAGCATGCCCACTCCAAGGAATGTTCAGATATCCCTGAGCACCTCATCCCCCAGTTGGACTCCCTCATGCAGGATTATCGCAGCTCCAAGGAACAGAACTTACCTAAGTCAAGCGCCTGCTACGTGTGGACCGGCAGCTTGATCAGAAGCAAGCAAAGCTGGCAGCATTGGAGAAGGAGCATGAGGAGATTGAGGAGTTGTTGGAGGCAGTACAGAAGAGGAAGAAAGAGGTGCTCGAGGAGAAAGAACATGTGCAGAGTGAGATCGATCGACTGGAAATTGAGATTGTCACGTCAATTCAGAAAGACTCACCAGAGGAAGGTGGATTTTGGCAGAAGTATCAGGAGAAGGACTTTGACGAAGATGAGGAGGAGTATGAGGACCCAGAGATGGAGGAGCTCCAGTCCACAGTCGAGACCCTCACCAGTCGGCTGGGAATTTGGGAGCAAGTCATTCTCAATCATCCCGACCGTGACCAGCTCCTCCAGAAGTTTGACCAGGCAAATGTCCCAGACCCAACCCCGATGGAGGGCACAGGAGGAGTTAAACACAAGGCGTCGGACATGTTGGACCCAGGGGACAAGAATCTGGCCAATGCTCTCAATCTATCCCCAGAACTCCTTGCAGGTGTCCAACGTGCTGTTCGAAGTTCTGGGAAAAAAGCAAAAGCCAACTGGGATTCCGCCCCCGCCCTCAGCCCCATGTGCCGCAACCATCGCAGAGGCAGCGGCATCAGCGTCAGCGGCAGCAGCAGCAGTGGCAGTCCCAAAGTGAGCAGAGCAGCAGTTTCGAGATTCGTACGCTGAATGTATCGTCGCGGGGCACAGCTGAAGATATATTGCCCCAGCTAGCAGAATCGACAGTCGACGTGCTTCTGATTCAGGAGCACAAGCTCTTACCTCACAGGTACTCGGTCGTCGTCTCCTCCCTCAGGCAGAAAGGGTGGGAAGTATTCGGAGCCCTAGCATTCACGTCTAAGAATGGAGGAGTGTCGTCAGGGGTGCTCATACTTGTGCGTGCTCACTTGGATGCCCCAACGAGTCCCAGCAGTTGCTAGTGCCTGGCAGGCTATGCAAATGCTATCTCCGCCATCTGAAGTTGGGAGTCATAGGCTTGTGCAGCATCTACCTAAAGGACCGAGTAGGTTTTGACGACATCAACTTAAGCATCCTCCGAAAGCTAGGGCAGGACATCCACTCCACGGGCCTGCCAGTCATAGTCGGTGGAGATTTCAATATCAGCGTAGTCGACATGATCGGGAATGCGGGCCTAGATAAAATTGGTATGTCCGTCAAGGCCCCACTGGAACCCACGTATGTTAGCGGAGACATAGAATCCAGGATCGACTATTTCTGGAACAGCAGCATCCTGACCCAGGCCCTCAAGTCAGTCTCGGTGGATTTGGACACTCCCCTCTCTCCTCATCGCCCAGTAAAGCTTGTACGCAGAACTGACATAGATGAGATCCTGGTAAAGATACCTGGCAAGTACCAGCGATATCCCACCGACCCAGCCATTGGACCAGCCCCTTGCCCTCCCTCGCATTGGCATCTGAAGGAAGCGCTGGGAAGTTTCATCCAGGATCACAGGAATGACAGGGGCGACATCGTCAGCGTGCCGAAACGGGAAGCTGACGGGCATGCAAGAGGCCAAGGAGTGTTGGATCAGGTCTACGTTCAGCGGTTGGAGCTTATCCGCCTAGAAATTCAGCAGCATGCCCAAACACCACCAGAAGGTAGACAGCCAGGAGCCCCGTTGGAGATCCAGGACATACCCCTCTAAAAGTTGCTCCAAACCAGACATAAGAAGAAGCAGCAAAAAGAACGAGCCCTCCTCTGGGCAGCAAATAGGCTAAAGGAAATGGCTAGAAGATACAATAAGCCCCAGGATCACCAGCTAATGGATGAATTTTTTAACAAGCTCGTCTTCCAGCTTCACCTCCCCACCCATTCAGGTGGCCCCAGTCAGGCAGTTTTGGGAAGAAGGAGTACATTACCATTTCATCCTCAAAGGTGTCGCCTCCAAGCTATGGGGCCCAGCCTCGCAGCAAAAGAGAGACTTCACCACCACCGTTGCCAACGCCTTCGCCGAACATCACCAGGGCAACATCGGCCAGGACAAGTCAGCGCAGAGACAGCAGTGGGCAGAATGGTGCGACAGTGTAGCAGATGGGCTTATCTACATATATACCAAAGGAAAGGAGGAGAGGAATGTCGAGCAGGTCTTGCTAGAATCAGGCTGCACCTCGTCGCTACCAAGTTTGCTGGATGCTCATCTGAAAAACTGGTCAGAGAAGTGGAAAGCCAAGCCTGAAGGAAAGGTGGGCCAAGGCTCACCTCGAAGACCAGAATTCAGCATGAATTGCCCAGCATATGTCGTGTCCCTTCCAACCCATCCAGCAGTCCTGGCAAAGATTTCGAGCAAGTTCAAGATGCGCACATGCATGCCAGACGGATTCCATCCCAGACATTTCAGGTCATGCAGCGAACAAGCATTGGAGATAATGGCCAGGTTGTTCACAGCCATGGACATGATAGGAGCAGCCCCGTCGCCCATCCAGCAGCCTCAGATCCTTCTCGCGCCGAAGCACAAAGGGGGAGGAAGGAGATGTCTGTTTTTTGTTGTTTATTATTATCCTGGCCTCGAACGTATCCATGGGGAACTCATGTCCAGGAAATGCAGATCATGGGAAGCGTCTTCAGGACTGGCTCCAGAGTTTTCGGCACCCCAGGCTAGGAGCCCAGAGGGCGCAGTTTGGAGACAGTCAGCCCGCGCAGAACTTGCAGCATCAGGCAACACGCACTACATAGCATTACTATGGGATCTCAAGTCTTTCTACGAGACCCTCGGCCATGCCATCATCTATGATCATGCTCACCAGGCTAACTACCCCATAGATGTAGTGGTATATTCATTACATACATATGAATGGCCAAGACGTCTGATGCTCGAAGGATCGATTTCAGACCCGGTATACCCCGCGCAAGGTATTGCGGCAGGAGCCTCTCCAGCCACGTACGAGGCCAAGCTCTACATGCACCCGCTGATCACCCCAACCCTCTCGCCCAATGCAGCTAGCAGTATACACATTGACGATCTCACTCTCTCTGCTTGGGCTGATTCCAAGGTGCACTGTCTCGAGTCATTCGTAACGTTCGTGCTCCAGATCAAGGAAGGGATCGAAAAGCTGACCCTCGCCTTGACATACCCCAAAATCGCCCTGGCAGCCTCCTCCACGGATTTGCCCAACAAAGGAAAAGAAGCTCTTGGGGGACCTGGGAGGGGCAGCAAGTTGGGGTGCAGCCAATCTGGGCGTTGATTTTACGGCGGGCAAACACAAAAAGCATAAAGCAGCATGTGTAACAAGACATAAATTATGGCTCCAGCTAACAGCCCGTGTCAACAGAATTCGTCGTTTAAAGGGCAGCAGAATACAGAAGACACGAAACATATTCTTCGTTGTAGGAGCCAAGTCTACCATGCATTACGAAGCTGCATCCCATGGATTCACACCGAGTGAAATCAGGCGACTACGAGGACTTGCAGCGTCTGTCTCCCCCCACCACTGCAAGCGAGCCGACGTGAACATGTGGTGGGCATC